AGAGAGAGAGAGAGAGAGAGAGAGAGAGAGAGAGAGAGAGAGAGAGAGAGAAAAAAAAAGGGATATTGGGTAAGAGAGAGGTGGATTTTAACGCGAGACATAATTCGGCCATTTCGGAAACAGATGTGTAATTGGTCTTAGTCTCGCGGGGAGAGTGAAGAACAAAGAGGAGACCCAGAAAACGAGAACAGTACATTAAAGGTTTGTAATATGGTCAACCCTTCTATATGGCTGGGAATGCTGGACAATCACTAAAGACAGTGACAATAAAATAGAAGCAAGTGAAGTGTGGTTTCTTCGGAGACTGCTGAGAATATTGTGGAAAGAAAAGAAACCAATGAGGTTGTGCTTGATGAAGCCCACACTGGACGCTCACTGTTAAAGACAATCAGGAAACGACAAATGCAGTTTTTGGGACACCTGAATAGACATAAAGGTCTTGAACATCTAGCTCTCACTGGCACAACTGAAGGAGAACGAGGCAGGGGTAGGCCCAGAGCAACCTACTTAGAGAACCTAAACTAATGAGTAACGAGGAAAGATCATGGAAACGTAGCTATTTTAAGAGCATCCGAGCAAAGGAATGAATGTTCGTGTCTGTCGCAGATCTGGCACTGGATGAAAGAATGTTCACATTTCCTTCGTCTGAGACGAACTTTCTCGTATGTTATACCTCCACTAGACAGGTTTTTCTTTTTGCACATGTGTCGTAAGTCTTTAGGTCGTATTTTTAAAGTTTCAGTAAGGTTTTACGACTCTCGCAACTGCATACGATCAAATGAGTGCCAAGGGGTGGATGTCAACAGAGAAGTCTAAAAGGGGAATCAGGCTTACTCTGCTAACCTCTCTAGCTTCAACAGCACAAAGTCTGCTTCGACTATCAAGGAACCCCGGAAATAGCGGGTCACAAGAGAGTGACAAACATACAAAAGAAGTAGAGGAAACATGACGATAGTAAGGATGAGGACAGAAAAAGCAGCAGTTCCCTTTAGGTCACTCAACGAAACCCCACAACAAGTGGGCTGACTGTAAACTGTTTAACGCTATTACTGATTGAAAATGGCCAAATATTGTGGGAAGCACTCTAGTATAGTTTTAGTAGGAATTTTACGGCACTTACAACACAATAAGATCATATAAATACCTATGATTTGAGGCGTTGCAATAGAGTAACAAACACAAAAAAAGGAGAGGAGATAAAGACGATATATTTTTTGTAGGAAAGAAGGAGCAAACCACACCAGAGCACCCGCCAACCACCCACGAAGCACTCTGGTTTTGATGCTCTAGCTTAGCGTACAACCAACGCGCGCCTAACTGGTCTCTCTTCTTCTTCTCTTAGGGTTAGTCTTTTT